TCACTTGCTATGACACACAAGACATCATCACAACTACTACCCAACCCCTCCCTCCCTCTCCTCCCAACTCCTCATGACTATCACCCATTGGGACCCGTTGTGGGCCCAGACACCCACACATACACCTCAATATCGTTTCAATGCTTTACCTGATAATCGGTGACACTATTGCGGTATCTTTTGGTCAACTCTTCCATATATAATTGTCTATTCTTCTGGTTAGACCTAAACAATAAAAACAATCAAATGAATCAATGAATCAATTGAAGAGATGATGTCTTACTCAATGACTTTGTCGATGTCGACCATATGACGGATGATATCGGCTTCAGACATGGCGTGTAAGTCGTGAGACATTTTCATCTGAGATATGAAGTGATTGTGTCTCAGAGTGAAAGTCAAAAGTGACTGCGATTTCAATCGCTTTCGTGTCATCTCTTACACTAATTTCAATCAAATTGAGAGTTTGTTTGCTATTTAGGGGACCATTGGTTGAGTGCAATGAGTGGATGACAAACACACAGTCAATGCAATGCATGTATGAATGCAATCAATCATTGGTCCCAACACTCAGTCATATGTTCACTGTTTATGTCAATTCAATGTCTCATCACTTGTCAGACATCAGTCAAGACCTCGAGGACGAGGATCAGGTGAGTGTCCATCGGATGATCACTCAATCATTCACTTATAGATACATATATTGTGTCCACAGATTGATGACAACGAGTTCTGCATCCCTGCCATCGATGGACCGCTTCCCACACTCGACAGTATCTTCAATGAGGTATTCATTGATGTCATGTCTTGTGGTGTATTGACTCGATTGGTGACACACAGGAAGACAACGACTCCATTGGAAGTGATCCACAACTGGAGGCCAACGAAGTGACCACTGGTTTGAATGAATGGCTCGAATCGACTGAAAACTCTTCGCTCAGTAGTTATGACTCGAAGGGCCCGAAGAAGTCATCGAAATATCTTCTTCCGAACGAGTCGTACCCCAAATTAGTGGTAACGAATGGATCTGTTATTCGACACTCAGTTCTCAAGACAATATCGGCTCAAATCAAGTCCGCAGACACCGAACGCATCGGTGGCGGAAAGCCGACAGTTATGAAGGTTTCGACCGCTTATGTAGCCGTCGGCACATCCCATGGAT